AGGGGAACGAAGAAAATGATTGGAGAATGTTTGAAGGAAGTGTTATGTCATTTTTGCAACATTTTTTATTTACTACTGCTTCAAAAAAAGCTTCCCACTGATTGTTTGAATCAAGAACATTTCCTTATTTCCTCTTCAGCTACCATAGCATAGCAAAAATCACCATCATTTTTTGGAAAGGTTCATAGTTAAAATCACTATCACTTTTGTTCTCTTGTCATACTTGCAGTTCTTCTTGTAATTGAGTACAACTTCAAGGTAAAACTCCATTATGTTCCAAGAGTCATAATGGAGCAGAGTCGACCAGAGTTATGAATGTGCAAATCAAGAATATTCACTTGAATGGGTTTGGGAAAAAATCGAACTATAAATACTCGTACTTCCATATAACATCAAGCGATAGGTAGTCAGAATTCTTTTCGTAAGGCTGTGAAAAACTTTCAAAAAGTAGCATTTAATCGTTCATTGTGGATACCTGTAAACTGCGAGACCGCACCCTTTTAGTTAAAAGAGACCGGCACTGTTTTTTGAGAGTTTTGCGATAGTTGAAGTTTGTATTTATGTTTAACACATCGAAATTATCCAAAAAGAAGTGAATTATTCTAAGTCGAATAAAATAATACTTTGAATCTACATCCTTAATAAATGTTGGATTAGGAAAGATTTTCGATTCTCTCTCTTAAAAGCAACATGGACACTTCTTTATTTCGAAATGCAGTTGGTTAAATTGAGACGAATATGTTTTGCAACGAATTAACAACTTCTCCAAGAACAAGCCTCACCTGTTTCAGATTGAAGTCCGACTTATGAGTGGTGTCTCCATTGAACTCACCGGACTGAATTGTTGACACAATTGGTTTGAAGGAGCGATTCCTTTCGAACTAAACATTCATGTGCCGCTCAGCTCATAGCCTCAGGAGCACAGTTTCTATACAATGTTGTATTTGATTGAACATACTTGTTTCTCATAGAAATCCGCCTTATTCGTCGTCTCACCATGAAACTCTCCCGAATTGAGCGTTGTCTCAGCTGGATGTATGGCTCGGGTTCTGAAATGAAGGGATCATGATTTTTTTCTTCTTCTTTCCTTCTTTTCGGGAAAAAAGTTCGTTAATTACACCTGACGGCTTCTTTTCCTGGATACTGTGCACCATACTCAGTGGTAGATTCTCCAATCCCTGTAGTCGTAGGCCAATTGTTCTCCACATGAGCGCATTTGTGGTTTCTTAAGTGAGCACTAATAGTATTAACTTAAGTTAGAATGGTCAGCTTACCCGCATTGGCAGATTTGGCAGATACAACGTTCTTCTTCTTCAGACATGCTATTTTCTCTGAAATAGATTCCTTCTGTGCCTTAGGGTACACTTGGAATGACAAGTAAATAAAATGTTGCACGAAAATCCAATCAAATAAGGTATCGGGATAGATCCGTAGAAGAACAAAAGTATTGCAGAACGGTTGAGGCCAACTCTAATCCAAACTAAAAATCAAGCTTTCTTTTTTTGTCAGTTTTGTTACTCAAACTTCTGATGCCATATTTTCTCGGTAA